ATATCGCTGAGTGTGGCGTTAAACTAAACTCACTCACTCAGTCACACTCACGCTCACGCAAGTGAACTTGTGATTACACAGCAGTTAAGGTACTTCAGTAGTTTTGTATCAGTATCCATAACACTGTTACACTCGGGCTGTTGCAACTGAATTTGTGAATCGAGAGCAGGTATATATACTGGAAATACACGTAACACCGCGATACAGGTCACCTATGAAGTTTTAAAATCCATGCAAAAAGCACCGAATTGTTAGCAAAAACGTATTACTCTTCGGGCATTGCAAAGCCGGCGCCTGGTCGTTGTTGAACGATTTTACTAGCGCTTACTTCAGCTAGACGAGAGTTACCCCCCTTAGACCACAGCTACAACTTTTACCCTGACCCGGAACGCTCAATCATTGACAATCTTTAAAAGCTGCCTAAAGACATACCCCTTACAAAAGATTGAATTACAATGAAGGAATAGCACCTCTACTGCAGTGTATTTTAATTTTGTGTAGCGCTAGCTCTCGTCATTTGTCAATTGAAATTGACATCGTCTCCCATATCTGCATGTGGACCACGCTTTGCAGTGGTAGTCTCTTTATAGGAGATATCGTCCTTGCGCTTTCCTTCAGACTGTCGCATGTTTTGCACGGGTAATCTGCCGTGCTGTAAATGTCGATGAAACTTATGACACATTCGGCAATGTATCCCTGGGCCGTCGGTGATATAAAGAAGTCCTTATTTATTAAATCTGTCCAAACTTTGGGGTTTTGAGTGTAAGTATCATTTATGATGACTGGTACGTTGATAACAGTCTCTTTGCGTGATTTTTGGCGTGGTGTACCTGGAGATGAGGGTCAGTTTGTTTGGCACTCGTTTTCTTTCATTCGGGGAACGTCTCAAATAGTTTTTTCCCTTTTAACTACCATACGCTGTATTCACATGGATTATGTTGCACAGATGTTTTGATCAGCAACTTTGATCTCACTCGTCAGAGGTGACATAAATTCATGAATAAGTAAAGTTTTCAAAACGTTTAAAGTGTTGTATGTGCTAAGTTTGGTTTGGCAGAAAATGGCAATGAAGCCCGTGGAAGTTTTTGAAGACAACTTTTGCCCAGAAGTGGCGTCCAATTTGGCGGCCTTCATATAAACATAGCCACATTTGGCGATGCCCCTGTGTAGGAAGGTGTATAGACACAAAGTATGCAAAGTTTGAAAGCCGTAGCTCTTGTAGTTTCAGTGCAGCACATTTTGGGAGGTTAGTAGTCAGGATTTTGCTGAAAAACATCACCAAAAACTTCAATCGAACATAGCGTCCAAACGGTGCATTTGACCGACTTGACCCGTCCAGGCAAAATTGTAGGCATTTTGATTGCGCATCTGCTCATGAACTTTGGCACACATTGGAACATTAGTTTTGGAGATATTTGCATTTGAAATTGAAATTTTTGAATTCATTTTGAATTATCTGCCCTTTGCTATTGGGCCTACAGCCTAGAGATTTTAAAGCGCGATATCTATCCCTCGGTGGGCATCTGGGTGATTTTTGTCAAGGCATTCTGTCCAGCGGTGCTCTTTGTAGCTCTGGTACAAAATGCGGCGGAAGAATAAATAATAATAATAATAATAATAATAATAATAATAATAATAATAATAATAATAATAATAATAATAATAATAAAAACACGAACGATTACAATAGGTCTCCTGCCTAAAGGCAAGGAGCCCTAATAATAATAATCCGAACGATTACAATAGGTCTCCTGCCTAGAGGCAGGGAGCCCTAACAAGGTACCTACGCACACTTACATGCACATGTATATGCAAACACTCACATACATGCAAACATGCATACTAACATGCAAATGCTACATACTATTAGAATAACAAAAAAACAAAAACAAAACAGCACTCACATACATACATAAAAGTATAAATATATATACGATACACTAAAAACTGCACACTCTCTGCTTGCTCCTTGTTATACTTTGCATACATAAAGCTACCAGCTGCCTTGTAGACTTTTACCTCTAAAGATTTATAGAGGTAACCGCTACCTTGTGGAGTTTCATCTCTTAACACACACAGGTACCCCCTAAAGTTTGATTTTCTAACTCATATAGAGGTAGCCGCGGCCTTAAAAATTGTAGAGTTTTATCTCCAAACACATGACTAGTCACACGCTGCCCTGCAGAGTTTTAATTTGTCTTATTAAGGCCAAATACGACATGAAATATTTACGAGAAAAAAATGTTTTTGTTACACACACATCGTTCCGTGAATGTATGCACATGTACAAATATATTAAAAATAAAACTGGTACATGCGTTGAATGAACTTAGTTTGTGTTAGATTTTATTCATAAATTTATAAATTCGCAGCACGAAATAGTTCTGTAAACATTAATTTATTTATAATCCTGGCGACGATATGTATCTCATGTATAAGTTGTAATAAATTCATTTAATAAAGTCTCGTCAATGCAACTACGAAAATATATTACAAATATATCTACATATAACATTTGTAGCATGACTTCAAATTTGTAAGACAAAAAATCGAAACGACACTGGGTGGTGCGCAAAAATAGTTCTTTATTCTAAATTCATATGTCATTATGGAATTATTTTTACCCTTTCAGTTATAATTTCTCATAAATATATCCTGAGGTTAACATATAGTTTAATTAGTTGCCGTGTGAATGACAGCATTATATAAACGATAAAAGGGCTGTGGTGGATATTATAAGGGTAATGCTATTTTTGAGGGCATTATCATTTGCAGAAGCCCGAGGTCTTCCATTAACTGCCCGAGGAAGGAGGGCAGTTGATAAAAGAACCGAGGGCTTCTAAAATGATAATACCCTCAAAAATAACATTACCAATTAACTAAAATACATGGAATTTGTGTTGAAAAGAAGGGAAACAATGAAGGAATTTGACTGTAAGTTTACTCAAAACCAACTTCTAAAGTGGGTTGACTGACCCCGCAATGCAATTACGTCATCGAACAATTCAAGGTGACGTCACAACAGAACGTGACGATATTCGACCTTGGCCTTTGCCAAGACCTTGGCCTGCAGCATGTCAAGCTATGGCCCGCTATTATGCCAGCAACAAAGTCAGTTTTCGGTGTTCGGTTTTGGTCTAAACAACAACGTTAATAGTGCAATTGTTAAGGTTAGCACCAGCAAGAAGGCCATTATTACCGCTGAAGCGGGAATTCGGAGTTGCTGACTTGTTTGCCCCAGAACATCTGCCAGTCCAAAGCCAATGTCGAATGAACCGTAAGTCATTTCAACATTTTCTTGAACAGAAAATCTGCGTTCACGTGAGCAGGTTGGCCTATTCGGATATTCTAAAGCGTTTGCTGGCATCTTGGGTGACAACACGTGCTGGAGGATTTCACTAGATGCTCTCTTTTGCGCGCTACTGGACCCTGAAATGTAATGCTTGAGTGATTCCTCGGACTTGTGCTTCGTGATGTTGCAGATTTGTTTTACGTCTACACCTGCCTGAAACAGGTATGTGATGGTGGAAGCTCTGACTGAATGACAAGTGTATACCTGTGATAAACCAGCCTTTTTGGAAATCTTCTGCATAATGGTGCCCAATATGTTCTTTCCCAAAGGAGCCTGGAAAAGAGCATCGCAGTCGGGTGGAGTTTTGACAGATAAAAGAGATAAATACTGACTGGATCCTTGGATGACTCATTCTCGTATATTCTGACATCTGAACAGTCCTGATTAGAGGGATTACTGCCTTGCCAGTTCTTTGTTTGCTCAGCCGAAGTGAAGGTAAGAAAGTGTTTGTCATTATCGTCATGCTTCAGTTGAAGTGTCGATTTGGTGAAACGTCTCCAACCTTCACGCCCCCGTCTTCCCAGAAAGAAACACAGATTGAACCAAACCATGTCTTGAAGCCTGGTTGGGTCAGTACTCTCTAAATCCCAAAATATCCTGACAGTTTGTCCATATCTCCTCGCTCAATGCAAGGTTTGTGTTTGTAGGGATCTTCCTCCCTCTACAAAGTGGGCTTTACAACGAGATTCGAACATGCTGTTTGCGTTTGTAAACTCTTTATCAGCCATTATGTTTATGTTGCGCGAGAAAGGTGGATCTTTTAGAGTACGATGAACTGCAGCTCTCAGTGATCTCAATGTGCTAGGGGTGGGAAGCTCAGCTTTCTTAGTGCGGTACTCAGCATAGAATTTTCTTAATATTTTGGCCAGGTCTTCCGTTTCGACTGATTTTAGATCAATGTTGATATTACTGTCGAGATGCCCAGTCAACAACAAAAAATAAAATTTGTGAGACAAAATCGTGACGGTTTTAGTTTCTTGCTTATTATTTAATATATCAAAATTACTACATAATTAGGCCTAGCGTCAAAGCTCACCAGTGAATGCCTTGGTTCCCCAGCAAGTTTGTTTTTGAGTATTTGCTGATTTTCCTTCCATTTGAAGTTTATCAAGTTCGTCTTCATCTAAATCGCTGTCAGTTTCATTGATATCCGCTTTTTCGACCCAAAGAGAATCGGTTGGTTCACGAAGCGCTCGTTCAATCTCCCGAGCCGACGCTGCCGTACCAACACAATCAGACGCCATCTTGTATTGTCAGCGTTCGGCATTGTCTGCCCACGCACCCACTATGACGTCACTTGACAACAGAACTGATAGTGGCCCGTCGTTAAGGTTGAGCGGTCCAATATCATTTGCAGCGGACCGCAAATTTCTGATAATGGGAGGGCCGTTTCATGATAATTCCATGTATTTTAGCTATAAAAGAGCATTATATACACGACGTCGTGTATATAGCACTCGCTGCCTCTCGAGCGATCTGATTGGTCCGCTGAGCGGAAGTATTTTTAGTATCGGTACACAAACAAGACGGCGTGGTTTGAGGGCGAAAGGTGTTGTTGAGCGGATTAGCTATGACCAATCAGATCGCTCGAGAGGCAGCGAGTGCGGGGTTACAAGTGACGTCACAGCAAGATGGCTGCATAGTTTTTGTGTCTGTGAGGTGACTGACTATTTTACTTTGTTTGTACCATCTAACTCACACCTAAACACACAAAATGAGCTCTGGAAAGAAAACACCAACCCAGGAACCCAGTTCTAAGAAGAAAAGACCCGCCAGCACCCCTGAAAACTGCTCCGGAGTGAGTAACACCGACACACCTATCGCCACGTCACACCAAAACAATGACATCGGCGCTGCGGTAAGAGAGGCTTTGCTGTCCTTGTATGCACCTCAGCCGGCTCAGATTTTCGCCTCACCACCCCTTGGAGCTCAGTCTAATCCTGGTCAGTATCAACCTAGCTTTCCTAATCCATGTGAGTCAGATATGGCAGCAGTCATAAGTCTTCTACGAAATATGCAGCAGAAACTGGCTAAGCTTTTGATGATATTGAGAATGCTATCTCAGACGTCCAAGTCAAAGTTTCTGGACTAGAAATTAAGGTCGCAGAATTGGATAGCCTGAAAGAAAAAGTGTCTAGCATCGAATCAAGCATCGAGTTCGTGAGCGCCAGTTTCGATGATTGGATTGCTGACAAACAAAATATGCAAGATGATTTAAAGGCGCTTCATGCTAAAGTAGATGATCTTCCTAAAGCTATCTCAGACCTCAAACTAGAAAATTTGCAGATGAAGGAGCACATGATAGATCAACGCTGCAGATCGATGAGGGACAACCTGATCTTCACTGGGATACCAGAGTCAGCTACAGCACAGGAACCAGAACACACAGGGGATGTGCTGAAGACCTTCATCCAGGAGCAGCTTGAACTGGACCCCAGCAACTTCAGCTTCAGGAGGATTCACAGGATTGGCCCAAAGAGACGAGGAGCAACAAGACCCCGCTCTATCATAGCAAAATTTAACATTACAACTGAGAGGGACCTGGTTAAGAAGTCAGGAAAGAAATTGAAAGGTAAACCATACAGTATTTTCGAACAGTTTCCTGAGGAGATAAGTTCATACAGGAAAGAAGTGCTCATGCCTCTCAGAGAGAAGCCAGGAGCCAAAATAAACAGGCCCATATTGTGATAGATAAGCTATATGTGGATAACACCCTTCACCCTGTGACCACCCCTCCACCCTATCGAGGTCCCACCCCACCTCAAGACCCCCACCCAGACAGCCAGACCCTCCCAGAGCTAGGGGACGTCGGTGGTAGTGAGAGTGACTCACAGGATCAGTCTGGCAGTGGAAGTCCAGACACAGAGCTCAAGTGTGTTGAGTCTCAACGTCTGTGGACTAAGGAGAAGACTAGGATGCCCTGATTTCATTGAATTTATTGAAAAACATGATTTTATATGTTTACAAGAAACTAAAACAGATTCATTAGATGATATTCAATAAAAGGTTACTCAGTTTTATTGAAAACAGAAGAAATTTCATTTCATTAGGCGATCTGGTGGAATAGGTTTAGCAGTCAAGATCACTTGTTCCCTTATGTTACTTTATTAGACCTAGATAATGAAGCAGTTCTGTGGGTTAAACTAGCAGGCTGTTTGTTCAACTCTAGCCTCCTAAGATGTACATGTAGGTATTGTATATATACCACCAGAATGCTCCCGATTCTCTAGGTGATGACATGTTTGAGTCAATTGAACACGATCTCTCATCAGTATCTACTCATTCCGACACTATCATCCTAACTGGTGATTTTAACGCAAGGACTAAATCTTTGGTTGATTTCTGTACATTTGATAGACATATATCTCTGAAGATCTAGACCTTGAGGACATGAAGACGGAACTTGACTCTCCGGAATCAATGCTCGAAGATCTTGGCATTCCACTTAAGAGAACATCTCAAGACAGAGGCCAACCAAACAATTATGGATTTAGATTGATTGAGTTGTGTAAAAATCATAATTTAGTCATCTGTAATGGTAGACTTGGTTTGGATAAACACCAAGGTAAAACAACATGTAAAGACGTCAGTACAGTAGACTATGTCATTTCCTCACCAAATGCACTACCTTTTACTCCATGATTTTAATATTGAAGAATTTTGCCCAATGCTATCTGATGTACATAAAACCAATTCACTTCAGTCTACATATGTCAGACACCCATTATGCAAACATGATGTCATGAGCAGACGGCAGCTCATACCCACACAGACATTCCTGACAGCAAACCAGGTAAATTCATGCATGATAAAGTTGTTGTATTCCTTGAAAACATTTCAGATGATTGTGTAAACACACTGTGCACGAAGGCAAGGTCACTAAGGGAAGGTCAAGGTAACCCACTAGAGGTTGTGAATGAAATAGCTCATGAGGTCGCGCACGTGCTAATTGATTCTGCACGAAAACATTTGGCGATATTCCTTATAAGGCTAATACCACTACTCGTAGTAAAACGAATGCTTTCTATAAGCCATGGTTTGGATCAGATTGTAAGAAGAAACGCAAGTCATTTTTCAAAGCAAAATATGTCTATTATAAGAACAAAACCGATCATAATAAAACTCTTTTCCGTAAAGCAAGTAAAGAGTATAAGAAAACAATGAATAAGTATATAAAGAAAGAAAATAATTTTATTAGAAAACAGTTACGCGAAACCCAGCATTTATCTCCAAAACACTATTGGAGATTATTGAAAGGAAAACAGAAAGAAGACAGTTGTCCTATCTCATTAGATGAATTCTATGATCATTTTAAAAATGTTAACGAAAGTACCATTAACGATGATGTGGACAGGGATGGAATGTCAGACCCCCCAAATTATGATGTTAGTGTACTCAATGATGAAATAACCTCAAATGAAATCGTCGTTGCCCTTCAAAACTGAAGAAAACAAGACGCCTGGCTTAGACTTAATTTCAAATGAGCACTTATCTTCAGCCTTACCAAAACTGCTACCATTTTTATGTTGAATATTTTAACGCTGTACTTCAGACTGGAATTTTTGCTCGAAGCATGGCTTACTGGTACTATCAAACCTATCTATAAGAAAACTGGTAATCGTACGGACCCGGCTTCATATAGACCAATCTTTATCTTAAGCTGCTTTGGTAAACTTTTTTACTAGCATCCTAAACGAGATTAAATAAATTTTGTGATGATAACGATATAATATCGCATGTCCAATCCGGTTTCCGAAAAGGCTTCTCCACAACAGATAATGTGTTTATTATTCATAATTTGTTAAATCATTTGAAGAAATGTAAAAAGAAACTCTTTTGTGCCTTTATTGATTTTTCTAAAGCATTTGATAAGGTTTGGAGAATTGGACTGTGGACCAAATTAAGACAAACTGGTATCAAGGGTAAAATACTGACTTTAATACAAAATATGTATAATGATATAAAATCTTGCGTTATGGTAGAATCTGCAAGATCAGATTTCTTTTATTGTCTTTCAGGAGTTAGACAAGGAGAAAACTTGTCCCCTCTTTTATTTTCTTTATTTCTAAATGACTTAGAATCCCATTTAGAAGAACAAGCATGTGTCGGTATTGAATTAAAAACAAATAATGATGAGTTTATTATTTATCTAAAATTGCTAGTTCTACTTTACGCTGACGATACAGTCCTCTTAGCTGAAACTCATGATGATTTACAACATACACTGAATAAATTCGCTGTATATTGCGACATATGGAAACTTAAAGTAAATATTAGTAAAACTAATATTATTGTTTTGGTTCGGACCTGCAGCTAGTTATAAGAAATCGTTTACACTATATGATGATAGAATAGAAGTTGTAGACACTTATAAATATCTGGGAACTCTACTACACAGAAATGGTCGTATGAATTTTACTGTTAAACACATAGCCGATCTTGGTATGAAGGCATCAATAGCGTTACTAAAACGTGCCAGAAATGTTAAGTTACCACTGGACCTGCTCCTTTCTGCATTTGATAGATTAATAGTACCAATATTGATGTATGGATGTGAAATATGGGGACATGAGAAGACTGACATGATAGAAAGAGTACATCTAAAATTTCTTAAATTAGCAATTGGTTTAAAATATAACACCCCTAATTTCATGGTGTACGGGAGCTTGGTAGGGAACCTATTCAGCTTCCAAATTTCGAAACGACTAATCTCGTACTGGTGTAAATTGACATTATCACATCCAAATAACAAAATGGCATCTTTCATTCTTCAATATATTACTAAACAAACAAAACATCGAATAACTATGTCTGGCTAAGTCATATTAAACATATTCTCTGTAGGTGCGGATTGCCTGACGTTTTTGACAACCCTCATCTATACTCAAATTCATGGATCATTTCAAATGTTGAATCTATCTTAAAGGACCAATTTTACAATCGTGGACGAGCGATATGCAAAACTCCTCTAAAGGAATATACTATAAAGTTCTGAAGCGCTCTCCAAACTTCGAACAATACCTACTTCTCTCAGATGCTATTTCTAAACCGATCCTAAAATTTAGAACATGCAACCATAAACTCCCCATAGAAACAGGGAGATGGCAAAATATACCAAAAGAACACAGAGTTTGTAACTTATGTGACTCACATTTGATCGGAGATGAGTTCCACTATTTGTTTAAAATGTAATTATTTTGCAGACATACGTAAATCGTTGTTAAAAGAACCTTATAGTTCCTGGCCAAATTTATCGAAATTCCGTCAACTGTTTTCAAGTAAAATTTCTACCCTTAAAAATGTATCCAAGTTCATCAAGATTGTTTGCAAACACTTTAATTGATGCATCATTTAGTCATCTTGTTGTACATATTGTATGTAACATACCTCTTTGTTATACTCATGTACCACCGATGGTGGATTATTTTGAGTAATAAACGTGTGATGGTAACGTTCACCCGAGAGGTAGTTTGGTTCGATTTGCGAGTTTGAGGACGTATTACAGTTAATAAAACGGGTGACATGTCGTGGAAACCAGACAGGATGTGTGGGGAAATGTATAATTGAGAGGTACGTGTGTATGGTTTGGAATGTCACCGAATTCTTAGCGTACATTTCGGCCTGAAATCGGAACGAGTCGATCTCGGCCCGGCAATCCAAGATGGCAGCTGCTGCTCCTTTACTCTATTTATATATCTGACGTGCGTGTAGATCTATGGTCTATGGTCAGGGGAGCGGACATGGCCATTCCCTTGCTCTCACCTTGGAAGGTGGACATGGCCACTCCCTTGCTCTCATTCTGCTCACTCACCCTGGGGAGCGGACACGGCCACTCCCCTGCTGTTACCCGAGGGGGTGGACACGGCCACTCCCTGTTTCAAGACCCTCTTTGGGACGCATGTGTTGTCCCTCTTTGGGACGCATGGTGGACTGGCGTGCCAGTCTGGCAACCGGGCATGATGACAGGCTGTGCGACCGGCGTGAGCGTGGTGGGGGAAGCCTGGGTGATATTGTCTCCCTGTTCTGGCTGGGCTGGTCCTCTGAGGTCAGGAGCTTGGGTGGTATAATCTCCTTGGCGCCCTTGGGCAAACTGAAGACTGGCTTGATTGATATAATTTCTTTTTTAAATATACTGACATAGTTCACTTTCCAAGAGGAAATTGACTAGCGGTCTGTACATTGCAAGGTGCTCTGTGGGAGCCAGCAGCCGCATGGTTGTCAATGTACCTAGCCCTGTTTCCTCTCTGAGTGTTTGCCTGGTTGTGTCAAACCAGGATGGCAGCTGCTGCTCCTTTACTCTATTTATATATTATGTGACGTGCGTGTAGATCTATGGTCTATGTTTAACCTACATGCCGATAACGGGTTCCTGTGAATATGATTGGCTGCTGTAGGTCACGTGTCTGATTTTGACCAATCACGACCCTTATAGCAGACTGGCGAAAAAGCGTCATTAGAAACCAATCTTTATCCAATAAAATCGCTTCTTACAAATGTGAAAATACTCTTGGCAAGGGTACAGTGATATTGTTGATGTTCAGAGCTTTCGAACGATGCCCGACATCAAACGATTCGCCTCACATGTTATTCATACGAAGCTTCGAAAACGGAGGTATTTTCCGTTGTTATGTCATGTTACCGAGCGGAAAGCCACAGATATCGGGAAATAGGCGACCATACATATTATTTAAGAAATCTTTTTATAATAATTTTCTGATGACGTAAAAATGAAAATATAAAAGAAAAAGGCACGGGCATGTTATGACATGTCACAAATGGAAAATAATCGCCATAGTTTTTGCTTCTTTCGTGGTTTATCTGGACGTTATAAATGTAAGCTTGCATTTTCATTCAAAAATACATTTATTTAAGTTGTAGTTGTATTATTTGAATAATATTATAAAAATAAACTTCATATTTATCAACAGTAGGATTAGATCTTTTAAATGGTGTATGGGATGTAGTAGCAATAACGACTTTTACAGGCTTTTAGCAATTTCCATATCATTTCACATTTGCATAAACATAGGCTACCCACCGCCCCTCTTCATCTATGACCTTATAATTCAGCCATAAACATAGGCTTCATCTATTACCTCAGAGTCTCTGGGAACTCGGTGTCATGGCAGGAAATGCCTCTGGTTGACTGGTGTTGAAAGAGTTTTAATTAGCTTAGCATATGAAAGCGAAACCACATTCAACTGTTCATTTTCGAATGGAATGAGCAAACAATAAATAAACATGTTTCTACGACAATATACCTGAGAACCGAGTTTGTCACTTACAATATGAGGCCACAGTATTTGTCCAAGGAGTCTATATAAGACATTTATACAGACTCCAGATTCAGCCAAATCCGTCTGTGGTCTGCCCATTCGTCACCACTCGCCTTTTTCCGTAACCTCCAAGAATGCATTGACCAACTCGTGTTATTCCGGGACAAGCCGAATAGTGGTTACGGAAAGAGGCGAGTGGTGACGAATGGAATGGGGCACGAGTCGCTATTCGGCTTGTCCCGGAATAACACGAGTTGGTCACGAATGCATCGCCCCTTCACGTAACAGAGCGAGTATTGACGGAGAAAAGGGGATTTCCCTTTCTCAGGCACCCTGAGAAGCACAGGCGATTTGGAAGAATCAGGGAGTCCCCTGGTCAAAAATAGTGGCCTCTCATTGTCAGTGACAAACTCGTTTATCAGGTATATTGCCGTAGAAACATGTTTATTTATTGTTTGTTCAAATAATTCCATTCGAAAATGAAATGTTGATTGTGGTTTCGCTTTCATGTAGATCTATCTACTATGCATACAGAGTATACACGAGGAACGCTGATGGTTTTAACTAATTAAAATATCCATACATTCTCCGATACAAAGGCTACCTATGATTTCAGAAAAAAAGGAAGATATATCAAGGTTTAGGTTAGTAATATGATAAACAAAATAGAAGCCCCACTCCATAACTAAACGCGGAAGTTTAAAAAGTCAATAAAGACATTTGGGGTAGTGTATACCTATATACTATTATATTTGTCTTTTGCATGTTTCTTAATTAATGAGTTGACTTTTTCTCAAATACATCTGCATAAACTTGTTTCAGGTAATTTATACTATAGCCAAGAGCCATGAATACTTCATGCCTTTTAGAAAGATGTCAAATCAACCCACAATCATAGGTTTCTGGTGTGCCCAAGGTAGACGGTGATTTCGTAGACAAAACCAGTTCGTAGACGGTGATTTCGTAGACGTGTATAAATAATTGAATATATAGTTTGATTTTTACTTAGATGTTACTTAGAATGTTTATAACGAAATTGTTAAGCTTTGTTTTCAGTGATACGAAACTAAGGGCAGCTAAAGACTCAAGGAAATTGTGAATGAAAATTTCCCGTATGCTTTGTTTAGGATCTACTAATATCATAATTTCCCAGACTGTTTTCATTTGTTTTGATGGAGGATAGGACACTTTCACTGAACATGTCACAATGTGGCCACATAACTGTGATCATGAGTTGTTGTGAATGTTAATTAGGGTGGTGAGGCCTCTTTGAACAGCAGTTCTCTGTGGGTTTTTGTAAATGTAGGAAGAAAGTATGAAGTGACTTCTCTACATCTGCGTAGTTTGCGTTGAACTTTTCCATCACAAATGTGTCTACGAATTCACCGCTCATTCTGTGTGAACCAGGATTTCAAGTCTACAACCGGTCATAGGAATTCACCTACAGCCGTGCCCAAGGGATGTAACTCTGCAAAACAAAATGTAAAATAGCACCGCCTTGGAAGACAGGCCCCCATCGCCTCATTATATCATTAACCAAGTTAGCTCAGGAAAATTTAATATTCTACATCTAAAACAAGTTTGTTGATCTGGTCAAAGCAAGGTCTTGACTTGTTATAGCATGGATTAACTTTTACTTTGTCGAAACCACAGACACTATCAAGATCAGTGCTTGAAATGACAATGAATTGTTTTGTATTTGAAATGATTGTTGAGACGTATTGTTGATTCTAAGATGCCTAGCGGTTAGAACAATCGAAAAAAAAAAACATTATCAGACAATGAGGGTATAGTTTTTTGATGACGTAACAATTGAATGACGTTATCCCGTCACTGCGCCATTCTAGTGTGCCCCCTCGTAATCGAACCATTTTACATTACGTCACAATGTAAGCGACGTCACGATGCATGTCAGTTGTCATCGCCTCGTACGGCCTCCTACAGTAAACTACACCGTTGCATCCAGTTTCTTGGTTTGCTGTTGCTTCACGCAGCTAACATCACTGGTGGAAACATTACGTTTATGTTTTACGACGGTTAAAATGTGTCATTTCGACTCACAAGTTTTCAGCGACACGGTAACGTTCGTAATGTTTACATTCCACAATGCAATTGTGGAATGTCGCTTGACTACTCAACTTCCTCTGGATGTACTGATCTAAACTTACGCTGGTAGTAGAAATGCAGCGTTCATAGTTGCCCCATATGGTTTACGTTAATAACAGATGTAATTAAAATAATTCAGAGAAGATATTTCATCGAACGTAAAACCGTCATCAAACTGTTATATCATTTGGTTTTTCTGGTAACGTTCGTCTTAACGTAGGGGGTGACACATCAATAGAACAGCGCACCTCAGTTAGCCCTGTGCGAGGATTCTTAATTTAGGTCACCGACACCGTCCTTTGTTTTCTGCCTTAAATTTATCGTAATTATCTTTAGAAAGTATTAAATTTGGCATCTTAGAAAATTATCAAAGGAAGTTTATGTCATTTTCAAAGTATTACTTACCTTCATCTACTAACCAACTTTGAAGTTCTTTCCTTAACGAAACTAGTTTCAATCAGTGAATAAATATATTTACCAAATATCTGGTTCTGCAACCAGAATTTAATTAATTGTGAATAAAATCATTATGTGAGCAGTCAGTATTTATTATATATTTAATCTTACATGCATCGTAAAAGAAAAACTACATCTGTTGTGTTTTGTTTTAGGGTCAACCTTTTATTGACTTGAAAACTGAAACAAGATGGATCGAAAACGGAAGGCTGATGATCCATGTGATGACACAGTGTGGAAAAAGGCCACACTCAGGTGATGTCACTAACACGATGGATCGCACAAGAAAGGATTTTTGATTCCCTTTGATGCAGGTGATGTCACTGACAGGACAGATCGGACACAGAAGGCTGATGATCCATGTGATGTTACCATGGTTACAGCACCGAAAAGGGCAAAGTTTGGTGACATCACAGAATGTGTATTGTCATCAGTGCCAGCACCACATGGATCTAGCCAGTCTACCTCATCTGCTCCCACTAACTGTAAGTATTTTTACCCATGCAGATTGTTGATCCATGGCTTCCTAATGATCCAGGTACCTGTTGAAAATAATCAGTAAAATTTGTATGGTTTGGGCCCAACTTTCTGAACTTTCAAAGTCCCCTTCTTCTTGAATTCAAAGTTATTCAATTCTAATTTGATAATATCATAACTCATTGCTATAAAAGTCTTTTGCAATCTTATTCATTCACCTGCATGTGAAATACAAGTCAACCTGCAAAAACACACATTGTCATGATTGTAATAACTTGAATTCAGATATTTTAATTGCAATTTCAAATTTTTACAGTTAACAAACATTTGCAGTAGAATAAGGCAGAGCATTGTCCTGTGAGAACAGTGAAATGATCACAGACATTTACCCAACAGCTTGATTAAACTCTTTTGATACAAAAATTTAGTATGTTTTTGAAAACAGTAAATATGTTTATATTATCTTGAAACTGAAAAACAACATTTAAGCTGTTTTTAAAGGGAAATTTCTTTGAAAATCATGCATCCACATCTTAAACTTGTTAATTAAAATCACCTACAACAAACTCCATCTGAAGAACAACATCAGATATAAGCTGAATATTTGTTTAAAATGTGCACAAAAAACTACCACTACCCAGTTAGCTTTGAATTTCATGCATACACAAGTACACATGGAAAATTGAAGAACATACAACAGTAAAACAAGACCGTGTGTCACTGACTTACTACCCAGAGTGTTCCAAACCAGTATTTCATCACAATTACACTTACAGGTTGATATTTTCTGGGGGCGGTGGGGTAGCCTAGTGGTTAAAGCGTCCACTCACTATGCCAAATGCCCGGTTCAATTTCCCACATGGGTACAATATGTGAAGCCCTAATGCTTAGTCTCTGAATGTATATAATTTTGATATTAACAAATAAACTCATTTAAATTGAAAAGGAGCCCTGTGAGGAACATGAGGAAATAGTTTCCTTATTAGAAAATAGTTTCTTTATTATTCCCAGGGAAATTTGTTTTACATCATACGCAATTCTCCAGTTTTCTTTCATAAAAGCAACTATTGTTTAAAATAATCAGGATATAAATACATCAATTTAGTACACAAACATTGATTTTGACTAGAATTTGGACATTTGGAAGACAAGTCATTCTTTGAATTTGTTGTTAATACATCTAATACTAGCTAAAACAAATGAGTTTGGGGCTTTGGCATTGCAGGGAGGGTTAGGCATTAGGGGAAATAATGTGGTTCATGGACTGAAAGACAGGGACTGTTCTGCGATGTATAATGGCATTAGGAGGGCTACCTCTTGTCTTTTGGTTATAACACATGCACTGGTATATCTCTGTTGTGAGTTCGTGAGACTTGTTATACACCTAGGCCAGCATGTGTATAGTTACAAAACAGAAGTTGCCTAACACCATATTTTGAGCCGAATTATTTGGAAAAAAATATGTACTTGTTTTTGTAAAAGTACCCCTGAAACTGGTCCCAAGTGGGTAAAAATATATTCAGGGATTTATAACTACCACCAGCTCACACGCAGATGCCAGCCAAGTGAAATTAAAGACTTAAAGGACCACTGATCCAGAGCAATTTCCGTGGACTGGTTGTTGCTTTTGTTATTGTTTTTCTCTCATGAGTACCCGGATGATATCCCATAATTCTTGACTGGTTCGTGACCTCTGCTGCGCTACCCGCATGCACAATTGATAGTATAAGTATAGATTGATCAACAAAGAGGAAATGATTTTAATCTATAATATTTCCATCTTCATTAATTTGATAACAAATGAAAACATTTTGAAGTTTAACCATCTGCCAAATTGTTAGGGACTGATGAATAACGCGTCAATATGCGTCAATCAATCAATGTCGTCTTTATGTTTTGTCTTATAATCCTCATTAGTTTATCATCATATTTGTATGCATTTTGAAACCTAATAAAATGCACACAATCTGCTTATACTTATTGTGAATTTATAACATGACTGTAATATCTAGACATTTTATAGATTGCTCATGTAGATTATGTATTATTTCACACACACGCTATGTTGTCTGTCTCATTACACTTCACGGCAAAAAAAATGATTCTGTATAATGCTACAACCAATGAATAAAAAAAAATGCAAATATTAAAATTAAAACAGACTAAAGTTACAGCACCAATATCAGGCTATCCTACCTTGTTCGAAGGAATGTATCCATCAATATCCACACAAAGGAACGACATGCCATTCACTTTCAGCTGACAAAGAATCCTGCTCTATGTCATGTGTCTTTTAACAGTCAAATATCCGAAAAAGTGATATATCATTTCAGGTTTTTCACATTTGTGTAGAGTCTGATTGGTCACTCAAGACAGCACATCTGTCAACTAATTGCATGATGTCCGCCATTCTTTAACAAAGTAATTTAGTCAGCCAAAAATGAGCAATCAATCAATGTATTGGCAATTAATCCTCTGAAGGGAGGACATTGTTTTTACACAGGCACTTTGCGACAGGATGTATTCAGTATAGATTCCAGTGATAAATCTACAAATTCAACTGCCTGAGTCCCGGGACTCACTGAGCTGAATAACTATGAGTCCCTCAGAACTTTTATGAGTCCCTAACAAAACTTAATGCCACCAATATTATTCAAACTGGTTTATTGTTACTATAGGTTGCACAGTGAGTCTGACCGGTCTGGGATATTTCACAGAACAGAGCTGGTAGTACCTAAATCGAAACAAATGGAGACTCTTCCATTTTAACTTGTAGTTCATACCCTATCACATCAAACACAGATGTTAACAGATCACTGGCAGTGGTTGGAGAATCATAGTTGATTTTACCTTCCTTTTTCAAATTGTCTTAGTGTTCAAGCAAATTCATATAAAAGTCAACAAAAACGTTTAAACTTTGTCAGTGGGATGTTTCACAAGCTAACCAATGAACAGATTTCATCAAGGCGACAGCTGCTTTGTCTTGTTTTTCATACATACCAGCAGTTGCAACCTGGAAATCATCACAAAGTTTTGGAGCCTGAACGGACAGTTTATTATCATTATGATGAGATGTCTGGTCAAAGTTATATTTTAAAACTTTCTGCATTTAGCATCTTGTGTCATACCATTTTCAGTACATAGTTTTTAGATAGTACAAAATATTAAATCACCTTCCCTGTCATAAGTCAGCCATAACCGATGAGTATCAGGCCAACCTGACTGAAATGTCCTAACTTTGTGTTTTCTGACAGTATCTATCTTGGCGGCATGTTGCCTGCTATATTATAAAAATAACAGCAGGGCTCTAGACCTTTGACAATCAAATGTTTTCTTTTACTAGAAAAATAAAAAAGTTACTAGCCAGACCAATGTAACTTCACTGTAATATTTTGTGCATAAAGTTCTACAATTCCAACCAAAGTGTTGTTTTATTTCTTCACTGTGTTCAGTGATTCAAAAACAAATTACATCAAAAGAAATATGCCAACTGGAAGCCACTTTAACAAGTATGAACACAAATAGTAACTGTCTTACTTTAACTATTAACATTAAACAAATTATATCATAAATGTCATCATAATTATAAATGAAATGATTCATTTATAGGATTACTTTCCCAGGACTTGAGATGCAGAACCTTAAACAGAATGACATTCTGTCTCAGCAGAAATTTAACCTGTCAAATGTCACTTTCACTTTCAAATTACATGCAGATAGATTTAACAGTTGTTAAGCTACTGACTAAAGCTTCCTGCTTTTCTCTAACTGGTACTGAGTGCTCACACTGATGATTCAGAGTCACAATGTTCATTGACCAATCAGTTTGTCTTGAAAAACCTCATTTGCATATCGCTTACCTCCCTTAGCCTGTTTGTGTCTATTTATAGAGTGTAAAAACTAGGTTAGTAGTTCTGCACATGCTCGAGCAATGAATCTTGGGATCTCATTTGCATACCGCTTACCTCCCTTGGTGTGACCTAGATGTCTATTTTTGGAAACGCGGAAATGAACTTAATATCATGACGAATGAAAGCTGCGATCGTTTTACAAATAATGTGTACTTATTAGCTCATGTCAATTATTTGAGAATGGAAGTTAATCTACGGAGATTTAGCCATGTATACTTTGATATTGCCTCTCCACAAAAATAAACATTAGTGTTTCATCAAAAGCTTGCGTCCAAGAGGACGCACATGTAAAATAAATATGAGTCCTGTCAGAATTTGTTGCGTCAGAGACGCGGGACGCGTGGGCAGATTTATCCGGGATGGCCTAAAAGTCGGGCCGGGCCGGGCCGGGCCACCGGGTAATACTAAAAATGGATTGCAGAATATTAAAACGAAACCAGCACATTTGGGTCGATACACTTCCTGCCTTCACAAATGCATAGTTTGATTGAAAATGTATAGTTAATGGTGAAAAATCCCACACAACAACAATGACTACATACCGAGATTCCCGTAGAAAAGACACCGTCTTGTTGTTATGTGTTTTCCTTGATATGTCTATGAGGGAAGGTTGCTTACTTCTCTTAGCGTGTGACATCTGGGGGTCCTGGGCAGGAAGTGACAGTGTTTTGACTGCTTTTCTTTCCTTAATTAAGATATTGGGGTTCCCTAATTAACCTTTATTGTCTCAGGCTGAATCAGCTGCCCAGGATGCTTTATGTTAAAGAGACGTGGATATCAACGAGTGTCAATGGGCTAATATGACATGATTACGTATATTAAAAGAAATATTTGAAATCACAAAATTTTGTAATATGTTATGAAGGATCCAACAAAATATGCATTCACAAACACAAAAATTCTTATGTGTTTTCATTGTAAACAATACCAGCCCAAATCAGATACCCAGCGCGAATGCATATGCTTATATTTACGAATACACATGAAACACAAAATGGTATTATATCTACCTAAATACCACTTCATAAAGTAAAGTAAAAGTGAAGCACCCAACGATTTAGGAAAATAAAGTCCTCGGAAAACAAAATCCGCAATTGAAATTGTTTAGTCTCTGTTCAGCCCGACTTGGCCCGTGCTATCAAAAACAACTTAAACGTCACAGATGTATCTTAAAATGTGTTTAAATCCATAGATTAGTGTTATATCTACCTACATATCACTTCACAGAATCTCAAAGCGTAGTATTTGAAGCAAACACCTTGCTCAAAGTGAAGCCCTATTTTCTATACATTCTAAACAAAGACACAGTATCACAAGCTTTCGGTCCGGCTTGGCCCAGGCTCTCAAACGCACCTTGTACCTCACAGATGTATCTTGAAATGTGTTTAAATCCATAGATTGGTATGATATCTACCTAAATATCACTTTGTAATGTTATCAAATGCAACATGTAAAGATAACTGGTTCGTTAAAGTTAGCCCTTTTCTCTCTCCATTCTCAACATAGCCTCAATCAAAAGTGTTTAGTCTCTGTTCAGCCCGACTTGGCCCGTGCTGTCAAAAACACCTTAACCCCACGCATGTATTCTGATTTGTGTTTATATCCATAGATTAGTATCATATCTACCTACATATCACTTCACAGAATCTCAAACCGTTGTATTTGAAGCAAACACCTTGCTCAAAGTGAAGCCCTGAACGGCAATTAAGGGCAACAATGGAGTATGTTAATTGAGTCACGACACCTAGCTGATTGCAACTAGACAAGATGCAATTAAGCAAGCTGGATACAGGTGTACTTAACAGGTGTATTAATTCATTAGCCCACACAGAGCCAGATTGAACACTGGGCTTCACTTTAAGCAACGTGTTAGATTCAAATACATGTACAAAGCTTTGAGCCTCAATAAAGAGGTATTTAGTTAGAAATAATAATAATAGTTTATTACAGTGTCATATGTTACATGTAGTAATACATTTTGGCATGAATAATTTAATAAAAAGTATTATAAAAAATATTCATATTCATACATATATATGAATATTTTTAATAATTCTTTTTATTAAAATTTACTGAAAAATATATGTATTATCTGGTGTCATTTAGGCCAGAACTGGCCCGGTGTTTGTATAAATGTATGCCAAAATGTATTTTAATATATATATATATACATCAATCACATCCATTCACACTTCATGATCTCTCACAACTATTAAAAGGGAGTTATATTATCAATATCAACATTCATTCACATACAAGTTACATAGATTATAGTGGTATATAGATCAAAGCTAGTCTTGCAATAACCTCCTATAATACATGAATTGCAGAGATTTACAAAAGTCATATTGGATATGGTCTGTTTCCATCAGCCAGCAGAATTTTTCTTTTGGTGGAAGATTAAGAAAATTATCATAAATCTGCATACACTTATAAAACAGTTTTTCACGGATATCTTCATAATGGGCACATAATATCACAAAATGTACCTCATCTTCAACGGAATTTGCAGCACACATTACGCATAACCTCTCATGGATTGGGGTGACAGGCTTGGTATTCAGTCCTTTTCTAGGTTTTTAGAGGTAGGCCTCCACAGCCATGGCGATGCCATCAAGCTTCTCTGTTGTCTTGTGATAGATAATCTTGTGTAGTGACAAGTGTTAATGTCTTGTTTATACAGTCTGTAAAGTTCTTAATTTGTTGCCATTTTGGCTGGTTTGATCATTGAATAAATCCTGATACCACTTAGCTCTGTCTCTTGAATCTAGTACTTCTAGGGCTTTATATAACAGTTCTGTTCTGGTTAACTTTGCACAGTAATCATACATATCGCTAAAAACCATGAAGTTCAAGCTTTTATAAACTCTAGTGTTCTACCCGTCCCATGATGATATTTTTCGAACAGACCAAATATGTAAAAGTCTACAAAGCGAAGTTTGGTTCCAGAGTACATAGTTTGTGAAAATAAGCGGATCCCTTCAATCTTTATCTTTGAATCTGAACACCTCCAACCTAAATCATCTCTCACCGCTACTGAGGGCCAATTTTTTTCCTCACACCAAGGAACAGTCTTGCAGCTTTATTCTGAAGTTTCCCAAGTTCTTTCTGTTGATTTATTCCCCAAACACTGGCACTGTAATTTATGGCTGGTTGCACATAGTTGTCATACAACTTTATGAAAACATGGCTAAAACCTCAAAGGAAACTGAATTTTCACATTATTACACCCAGGGCCCTGTTGGCAGATTTGCACACTTCCCTCAAAGATATTTTATAGTCACAATACTCATCGAGCCGCATACCTAGATACTTATATTCAGAACAGTAATCTATATCCATGTCACCACAGGTGAATCTATTAGTTGATTGAGGAATAGACACTGGTCTGCAATGCATTATCTTGGTTTTGTCCTTGTTTATGGATAATCCCCACTCAGATGACCAATTGTAGAGACAGTGTAGAAGTTGTTGTAACTTAGTAGCATCTGGAGCTATCAACACAATGTCATGTGCATAGAGTAATATGGATCGTTAATGTGGTCTACATCCACTCCCCATTGGCTGTTACCTATTTTCCCGGGACCTAAGTCATCAATAGACATAGAGAAAGAGTGTAGGAGAAAGACCACATCCTTGTTTTACTCAATGGTCACATTAAACCATTCAGTTTTTCAGTGTTAAATTTTTACACAACATTGCACATCTTGATAGAGTGACTGTATGGCACACAGAAAATATCCATTTATCTTAAAGCGGCGTGTCATCTTTGACCACAACAAATGTCTCTGAACAGAGTCAAATGCATTTAATACCAATTAATCTATTGCTTTAAACACATTTCAAGATACATCTCTGAGGTTTAAGGTGCGTTTGAGAGCCCGGGCCAAGCCGGACCGAAAGCTTGGTATACTGTGTCTTTGTTGAGAATCTATAGAAAATAGGACTTCACCAGTTATCTTTACATGTGGCATTTGTAACATCACACAGCGATATTTAGGTAGATATAATACCAATCTATGGAATTAAACACAAATCAAGACATATGTGTGGGGTTTAAGTTGTTTTTGAGAGCCCGGGCCAAGCCGGACCGAAAGCATGACTGTGATACTGTGTGGTTGTTGAGAATGTATAGAAAATAGGGCTTCACTTTGAGCAAGGTGTTTGCTTCAAATACTACGCTTTGAGACTCTATTAAAAGACGTACTTAGGTAGAAATAACTCTATTCTAGAGATATAGACAGAAATCAGGATACATGTGTGAGGTTTAAGGTGTTTTTGACAGCACGGGCTAAGTCGGGCTGAACAGAGACTAAACACTTTTGATTGAGGCTATGTTGAGAATGGAGAGAGAAAAGGGCTAACTTTAACGAACCAGTTATCTTTACATGTTGATAACATTACAAGGTGATATTTAGGTAGATACAATACCAATCTATGGATTTAAACACATTTCAAGATACATCTGTGAGGTCTAGGATGTTTTTGACAGCCCGGACAAAGTCGGGCTGAACAGAGACTAAACACTTTTGATTGAGGTTATGTTGAAAAGTGAGAGACAAGGGCTTCACTTTAACGGAGCAGTTTTCTTTACATGTTGCATTTTATAACATTACATCAGGTATCCCGGTGTCAGGGGTTTTCGACGATGTAAGACAAAAACGTATTTTTTATGTGTAATATCATTTAAGCGATATTTAGGTAGATATAATACCAGTCTAAGGAATTTAACACAAGATACGTGTGTTACGTTTAAGTTGCTTCTGACGGCTCGAGCCAAGCCGGGCGGAAAATTGTGGCCGAGATAATGTTGAGAGTGTGGGGAAGAGATCGTATCATTTCAATGTGGGCATGCTTTAAATACAACGAATAGTGAATTTATGGGGTGGTATGTGATTTGATATAGATGTAAAAACATTTTCGGGCCAACGGAAATGTGTATCGGGATTGGCTAAAGTATTTATACGTATTAAATCCCGTTTCGTTTAATGATTACACTTTTAGACGTAACCTCGGTCAGCCAGTTCACAGGCTTCTCGTCTTACTGGATTTTAGCCGATTTACTCGTAATAAAGTTGTTATGGTACACGTTTGTTGCTTCCGATTGATCATTATTATCATGAGTGTATGTTGCATTGATTAGTTGTAGGCATGGTTTTCGTTAATGGGTTTATTAGCCAATAATAGATTTGGCCCGCCTTGGCCCGGCCCGGCCCGACTTTTAGGCCTTCCCGATTTATCCCTGTAGATTAGTAAATCTACATAGTACATACATAAACATTACCTTTTGACAAATCCACTGTGCAAGATAAAAGCAATTAATCAATCAGCGTGTTATCGGTTAATCCTTTGATCGATGTTTGTTTTTGTAACTCAGCTGATAATCCCTCTTGCTGCACTTCAGTGTCACTGTCAGTGAGACTGATAACCTGTTAGCAAATAATAAGGTGGGATATTAATATAGATCTAAGATGTAGATAATCATAAACTATACATTTATTAGTTTTTGATAATACCAGAGAATAACTTTGAGCAAAAATGATGGAAAGGTATCAATATATTTCATGTCAATAGTAAGTGGTGACACATTTGTGCATGGATTTCTAACAAAAACAGTAGTATAGACACAGTTTAGAAGCAGCTCACGAATAAAGACGTACCATTGTGTATCGTGTGTATTAAGTCTCTATTTCATGACAATAGTGCATATAAGATATTATCAAGGTTATCAATGACACAATTTTCATGCAGATACATAATTGTTAATGAGTTTTTTCTTTGAATATTTTCTGATTGTCAATCCTTGTAGCCATTTAGCCAGCCCGAGTAAGTACACAATATGTGTACTGAAATAATGTTTAGCAATTAATATTCATAATATATAACTTGCTTTCCTTGCATGGGCATTTCATTCCAGTTTGGATCAAAACCTGATTATGATGATGTCATCACTGTTGCAGTATTTTACACTGAAATAAACATGTTTATTATATTAATATTAATGAATTATGTTGATGTGTTTCAGACTTTCAGACTGGTATGACTGGTGGAACGGCCATCGGAAGTACTGTGGCATCTGTGATTGTGAATAATGCAGGTAAATGGTTCTTTTTAGAAGGTCACATTTGATGAAGCTATGATTTAATGTTTAAAGTACAATGATTGCTCATTTTGTCTTGTACCTTGAAACAGGTAACTCTTCTGAAACTACAAGCTCTTTGGAACTGAAACCACAAATGAAACCAGCTATGGTGTCTGTACTTCAATACGACTTTGAACCAAGCTCATTAAAATTAAATCTTTGTCTTAACTGCTGCAACACGTATGTTTGAGGATGTGAACTTTAAGGTCATGTCAGAATGACCTTTCTTGAACTTTGAACTACCAGTGAAATACCTGACAAGAAGTTGACATTAGTCATTGGAATGCAGCTTTCTCAAGCCTTACAGCAAGTTTCAAACTTCCATTCAAGACTACCTTTCAAAATGTTTTGATGAAATATTTTGTTTCAAAATTTGAAAGCAGAACTAAAGAAAATTCTGGAATGTCTATCAAGACTTTATGGCAGTACTTCCCTTGGACTGTTGAAAGTTTCAAATGTTTTTCTGACTGAAGCAAGAGATTATTACCCTGAGAGTGAGTGAGTGAGTTGGTTTTTATGCCACTTTTAGCAATATTCCAGCAATAAAAGGCAGGGACACCAGAAATGGGCTTCACAGATTGTACCCGAAGAAGGAGATGATTGTCTTGACAGTGTGTCAATGCTGCTTTTTAGCAATGCTTTTCAACCACTAGGCTACCCTAATGAGCACCACTGCCCTCGTCCTATTCTGACAGAAGCAGTTATACAGTCTGTAGCTGTCATTCAGCATACCATGTAGAAAACTTTTCAAGGTTGCAGGAACAGATTCTGAATGTCACTTTGTTAAGCATCACTCTGATTGGTCAGATGAAAGGTTGCTTTTATGTGAACCATAATAATGGAACTAATCAACACTTGAGTTAGCACTGAGATGCTAGTGAAATTGATTTAAAACATGGCTGTCATATTCACATTTTGGGGCATTTACTCAGGCACTTTTGCATTTGTAATTATGAAATTGAAATGTGTAGTATGTGGTATAACATGTAATGCATTGGTTTTTAAAAACATATTTTGATTTATGATCTGAAACTTTGTATTGCTGATTTTTAGCAGTGTATGAAATAAGGCCCGTCCGAATGCCCAAGACGGTTTAGATTTCTGAGGGACGGTCTAAATTTACAGCTAGCCAGCCCGATGGTCTGGTGAATTTTTTTAGATGTTCCATACATCTGAGTAAATTCACCATATTTGGTCTGGTTAAATCCATTTTGGGCTGGTAACGTTTTGAAGTTACCAGCCCTGATGTCTGGCTGGATTTTAGGCTTATTTCATACACTGTTTTTAGCTGTGGTATTTTAAGAAGAGTAACATATACAAATACTGCTTGGATCCCTGCAATAATGTTTGGATCCCTGAATTCTTGTTTAACTTTCAACATGGCTGCCATAATTTTGGTGAGCCAAAGAGCCTTGTACATATATCTTCATTTGTTTCTAATCATAGTTGAGAAAGAAAAGCTTATCAAGGAACTAGTCATAGCCAGTGATTAGTTCACAAATTCTCTGGTATCCAGTCCCTATTACTATATATTTAGTGATTGTAGCACACACACCCATTCACTTTGCAATCCTAAATATTTAACAACAAAATAATACCGGTAAATAAAATTTGCTTTTCAGCAGCCGAATGTTCACTTCTTCAACATTTAATCAGTAAGTGCTTTAATCTGTCTATTATAATATTGTTTACGGATCTGATTCCTAAATATATAACAGAGATCTGGTGTAGTAAGAGATGTGACTTTAATACCATTGTGTATATACTCTAAAAATATTGACAAGTCATATATCTTGCTTTCTCTTGTTCAATAAGTGTTGATAAAACTGTGTATGTACAGTATATATATATTTGATATCTAGAAATCTAGAAACATTACAAGAGTTATAACTGATATCACAATTACCGGGACTAACATTAAGTTGTTCCTTCAGCTGAAACTGAGATGAAGATCAGATCAAGAGATCCCACAAGACATGTTTCAACATACACAGAGAGGGCTGCATTCAGACATCTGAAGGAGTGCGGCAGTGTCATCATCAGGGGAAGATCAGGGGCCGGGAAGTCACATCTCGGGTATACTTTGTTGGAAAGGGTTGCAAAATCATGTTCAAGGATACCGGTGAAGGTGTCATCACCACATGAGTGGAATCACATACACAAATCAAGTACGTCTGATGCTGAAAAGTATGTTGTAATGGTTGATGACATTTTTGGGCAAACAAATTTGATCCAGTCAAGCCTTGATGAGTGGAGGCAGAAATTTGATCTAATGTGGCCCCTTGTGGAATCTGGACAGATTTGGTTAGTGATGACATCACGTCCAGAAATCATTATTGAAGGAGAACCAGAAATATTTGGATATGAAGTAATAAATAAGGCAAAAGAGATCATTCTTGATGAAGGAAAGTACCATCTCCGGGAGGGAGAAAAATTACAATTCCTTGAGAAGTTGTGTGGAAAATATGTAAGGAAGGAAGACATGAAAAAAATTGCCAAAATGGACACTGCTTTGGGATTCCCACAATGCTGTACATTTTTTGCAGCAAATAAGGATGCAATATTGAAAGGAGTTGAATTTTTCAAGAAACCTTTTGAATTTATAAAGGATTTGATTGAGTGTGTTAAGAAGAAACAACCTAAAGTCTATTTTGTGTTGCTGTTGGTTTTTATGAATGAAGGAGAACTCTCCATGAAAGAGCTCATGTCAATAGAGCATGAGGACAAATTTGAAAGGCAGTTTAAAACCATTACGTCCTATTTTGTGAAAGCACTTCTGTCCAAGGCTGACATAAAGAATGTAGCAAAATCAGTCTGTGGGATATATCTTTTAGAATCTTTCAGATGTTTCCTGTTCTCACACAGGTCAATACATGATGTCTTGTTTGTAGCCCTGTGTGAAGATAGTCCTGCTTTAGGAATCAGAATGAGCACACCAGTCATGCTGCTAGAATTTATTCGACTCAATGCACGGAAACTGGAAAGATGCAAGCAACGCAATGTTGTATTTGTAGGTGAAGAACATTATCCAATTTTGGCTGATAAACTGAGGGAATATCTGTCAAATGAGAACACTCGATACATGGTACTGTCTCATCCAGCTTTACAAGACACAGAGTTTTTTACATGTGATCTTTCATGAATGGAAAACTGATGACATATACCAACTGTCCAGGCACAATGGAGAGAAAGTTGTCAAAGACATTGCTTTACCTCTAAGTGGAAAACTAGGTTTGCCACAAACTGTCAACATTCTCGAATATAATTTGTTTCTCTCCCATGTTATTATGAATCACATGAAGGAGTTTGCTTTTACGTATCATTCAGTTACTTTGTAGTTATAATTCAGAGGACATTCAGCCTGTTTTAAATGAAGCCTTGCTTTGTGCTTTGTTTACTTGTGATAAAGACCTAGCAACAGTCCTTCTTTCAAGTGGAGCTAAACCAAACATGTTGTGTTTTATCTCACTTTGTAACTGGCCACAACTAGATACAAATACTTCATCCACTATCATTAGTCAGATAGAAGACAATGAAACCAATCTGAAACTTCTCTTAAGTATTGCAGTTATTTCCTGCAATAAGACAGTGATCAGGGTTTTAATTCAAAAACTCACTGCTCTAAGTGGAAACCATGAACAGTTTTACAGCCATTGCTTAGAATTGTTGCTTAAAATCAATGGCAACGGACACATGGACATAACACAAATGACTACAAATGCTGGACATGATATACTTGAGGTGATGACACTTCTTGAAGAAGGTGGTGGAAAATTGGATTCCAGAAAGATAAGTCTTGCATCTAGCCACAAAGACCCATCTGTGTTAAGGAAACTGTTGCTCAGATCACGTGATGATATACATGTGACTGATGAATTTGGTCGGACACCATTACATTTTGGCTTGTATGTATGGTGGTGAAGATGGTGTTGAATTACTGCTGAAACATGGGTCAGAGTTATCAGTGGACAAAGAAGGGTCGACTCCATTTCATTATGCATTGAAATCTTGTGTTGACCAGAAGAAAAAGCTGAAGCTGTTGCTCAATAAGAATTCAACTAATGATGAAGACTTTGTCAACTTGACAGATCACGTGAAGCGCACAGCGCTCCATTATGCTGCAGGTGCAGAGGCTCAAGCTGATATTCCAGATCCATTAGATATGTGTTTTGTTTATCTACAAAATGGCAGAAAAAAGCAAGTTCAAAAACCTCTCCACTGTGCAGCAAAGAATGAGTGTATGGAGTGTGTTAAGCTGTTGCTTCCATTGTCAGATGTAAATGCCCAGGATAGCAATGGTAATACAGCTTTACACTTCAGTTCCTTGTCTGATGAACCCCACTGTCATGAAATGATACAAGCACTGCTTGAGAAGGGAGGTGCTGTAGAAATCAAGAACAAGAAAGGTGAAACACCTCTCCACTATGCAGCATGGAACCAGTGTACAGTATGTGTTAAGCTGTTGCTTCCAGTGTCAGATGTAAATGCCCAGGATAGTGATGGTAATACAGCTTTACACTTCAGTTCCTTGTCTGATGAACCCCACTCTCATGAAGTGATACAAGCACTGCTGAAGGAGGGAGCTAATGTACAAATGCAAAACAGGAAAGGCCAAACACCTCTCCACTGTGCAGCACGGAACAAGTGTATGGAGTGTGTTGAGCTGTTGCTTCCAGTGTCAGATGTAAATGCCCAGGATAGTGATGGTAATACACCTTTACATTGTGTTTTTTATCCATTCTATTCAGCAGTATTTTTGACTGTTTTTATGAATGCCACTCCCATGAAGTGCTACAAGCACTGCTGGAGAAGGGAGCTGATGCAGGAATCAAGAACAAGAAAGGTGAAACACCTCTCCACTGTGCAGCACGGAACCAGTGTATGGAGTGTGTTGAGCTGTTGGTTCCATTGTCAGATGTAAATGCCCAGGATAGTGATGGTGATACAGCTTTACACTTCAGTTTTTTGTCTGATGAACCCCACTCTCATGAAGTGCTACAAGCACTGCTGGAGAAGGGAGCTGATGTGCAGGAATCAAGAACAAGAAAGGTGAAACACCTCTCCACTGTGCAGCACGGAACCAGTGTATGGAGTGTGTTGAGCTGTTGCTTCCATTGTCAGATGTAAATGCCCAGGATAGCTGATGGTAATACAGCTTTACACTTCAGTTTCTTGTCTGATGAACCCCACTCTCATGAAGTGATACAAGCACTGCTGGAGAATGGAGCTGATGTAGGAATCAAGAACAAGAAAGGTGAAACACCTCTCCACTGTGCAGCACGGAACCAGTGTATGGAGTGTGTTGAGCTGTTGCTTCCATTGTCAGATGTAAATGCCCAGGATGGTGATGGTAATACACCTTTACATTGTGTTTTCCATCATCCATTCAGCAGTTTGTTTGACTGTTTTGATGAATGCCACTCCCATGAAGTGCTACAAGCACTGCTGGAGAAGGGAGCTGATGTAGGAATCAAGAACAAGAAAGGTGAAACACCTCTCCACTGTGCAGCACGGGAACCAGTGTATGGAGTGTGTTGAGCTGTTGCTTCCATTGTCAGATGTAAATGCCCAGGATAGTGATGGTAATACACCTTTACACTTCAGTTCCTTGTCTGATGAACCCCACTTGTCATGAAGTGCTACAAAGCACTGCTGGAGAAGGGAGCTGATGCAGGAATCAAGAACAAGAAAGGTGAAACACCTCTCCACTGTGCAGCATGGAACCAGTGTATGGAGTGTGTTGAGCTGTTGCTTCCATTGTCAGATGTAAATGCCCAGGATGTTGATGGTAATACACCTTTACACTTCAGTTCCTTGTCTGATGAACCCCACTCTCATGAAGTGAAACAAGCACTGCTGGAGAAGGGAGCTGATGTAGAAATCAAGAACAAGAAAGGTGAAACACCTCTCCACTGTGCAGCACGGAACCAGTGTATGGAGTGTGTTGAGCTGTTGCTTCCATTGTCAGATGTAAATGCCCAGGATAGTGATGGTAATACAGCTTTACATTACAGTTTCTTATTTCCTAAACCCCACTGTCATAAAGTGATACAAGCACTGCTGGAGAAGGGAGCTGATGTCAGAATCAAGAACAAGAAAGGTGAAACACCTCTCCACTGTGCAGCACGGACCCAGTGTATGGAGTGTGTTGAGCTGTTGTTGCTTCCATTGTCAGATGTAAATGAAAGGTGAAACACCTCTCCACTGTGCAGGATGTTGAGTTGTTGCTTCCATTGTCAGGTAAATGCCCAGGAGCTGATGGTAATACACCTTGAGTTACATTTGTTTTGCCCAGATCCATTCAGTTTGTTTTGGTTTCTTGTCTGATGAACTTCACTCTCATGAAGTGCTACAAGCACTGCTGGAGAAGGGAGCTGATGTAGGAATCAAGAACAAGAAAGGTGAAACACCTCCCACTGTGCAGCACGGAACCAGTGTATGGAGTGTGTTGAGCTGTTGCTTCCATTGTCAGATGTAAATGCCCAGGATAGTGATGGTAATACAGCTTTACATTACAGTTTCTTATTTCCTAAACCCTACTCTCATAAAGTGCTACAAGCACTGCTGGAGAATGGAGCTGATGTCAGAATCAAGAACAAGAAAGGTGAAACACCTCTCCACTGTGCAGCACGGAACAAGTGTATGGAGTGTGTTGAGTTGTTGCTTCCATTGTTAGATGTAAATGCCCAGGATGTCGATGGTTATACACCTCTACATTGTGTTTTCTTTCTTCCAATCAGCAGTTTGTTTTACTGTTTTGATGAATGCCACTCTCATAAAGTGCTACAAGCACTGCTGGAGAAGGGAGCTGATGTAGGAATCAAGAACAAGAAAGGTGAAACACCTCTCCACTGTGCAGCACGGAACCAGTGTATGGAGTGTGTTGAGCTGTTGCTTCCATTGTCAAATGTAAATGCCCAGGATAGTGATGGTTATACAGCTTTACACTTCAGTTTTTTGTCTGATGAACCCCACTGTCATGAAATGAAGTGCTACAAGCACTGCTGGAGAAGAAAGCTGATGTAGGAATCAAGAACAAGAAAGGTGAAACACCTCTCCACTGTGCAGCACGGACCCAGTGTATGGAGTGTGTTGAGTTGTTGCTCCTAGTGTCAGATGTAAATGCCCAGGATAGCATTGGTAATACAGCTTTACATTACAGTTTCTTATCTGCTAAACCCCACTCTCATGAAGTGATACAAGCACTGCTTAAGAAGGGAGCTGATGTACGAATACAAAACAAGAAAGGTGTAGCACCTCTCCACTTTGCAGCATGGAACCAGTGTATGGAGTGTGTTAAGCTGTTGCTCCCAGTGTCAGATGTAAATGCCCAGGATAGTGATGGTGATACAGCTTTACACGTAAGTTTCTTGTCAAATAAACCCCACTCTCATGAAGTAATACAAACACTGCTGGAGAAGAGAGCTGATTTATGTATCAAGAACAAGGAGGATGAGACACCTCTCCAGTGTGCAACAACAAACCAGTGTATTGAGTGTGTTAAAGTGTCAATCTCTATGGCAGCTTAAATGTCCAGGATGGTAATGGTAATACAGCTTTTCACTTAGTGTAAAAAACGGTGCTGTCAGTGTAAATACCAAGGATAGCGATGGTGATGCAGATTCTTTTCAAATGGACCCAAATCTCCTGATGTAATACAAGCACTGCTGGAGAAGGTGACTGATGCAGGAATCAAGAACAAGAAAAGTGAAACACCTCTCCACTGTGCAGCATGGAACCAGTGTATGGAGTGGGTTGAACTTTTGTTCCCGGTGTCAGATGTAAATGCCCAGGATAGTGATGGTGATACAGCTTTACACTGTAGTTCCTTGTTATATAGATCCCACTGTCACAGAGTTATACAAGCACTGCTTGAAAAGGAGGTTAATGTAACAATCTTGAACGGAAAAGGTCAAACACCTCTCCAATGTACATGTAAACGACAGTGTAGAAAATCTTGACACCACAGTGTTTTTGTCAGATCTACTTCTTCTAACAGCTGCCACTGAGTAATAACGGAGCTGATAAATGCTTGGGATAGTAATGGTAGAACAGCTTAACACCAGTAGTTTGCCGGCATAAAATGATTAACCCCCACTCTCAGGAAGTAATAAGTTATCAAGCACTGTTGAAGAAGGGTGCTGATGTAAAATTCTAGAATAAGAAATGTCACGCACATTTTGTAGTCCAGCATGCTGCATGGAACCAGTGTTCTTGTGTCAGATGTAAAGTGATGGTAATACAGCTTTAGACTGAACTACCTTGTCTGGTGATGACTGCTGTCATGGAGTTATACTAACATTGCTGGAGAAGGGATCTGATTCAAGAACATGAAAGGTGCAAATGCCCAGGATAGTGATAGTGACACTTAAGTTTCTCATCTGATGATGACTAATCAAGTCATGAAGTAAAACTGTTGCAACTAAACTTGAGAAGGGAGCTGTGTAATAAAAAGAAAGTGTAATATAAGAACCAGAAGGATGTAACCATGTATGTTGAGCTGTTGCTTTGGCAAATGTAAATGCTGAGAATAGTGAAAGTACTACAACTTTGCTATGAGGACCTTTGCTATGATCTACCCTTTTCCCCATCCCTGCATCACCATATACACTGTTTTGACCACCACATCCGCTGTTTTGACCATCATATCCCATATGAACCACCATATACCCTGTCTGACTACCATATCCCCTGTCTGAACCACCATACCCCTGTGAACCACCATATCCCCTATGAACCACTCCTGTCTGAACCAACATATCCCCTGTGAACCACTCCTGTCTGAACCACCATACCCCTGTGAACCACTCCTGTCTGAACCACCATACCCCTGTGAACCACTCCTGTCTGAACCACCATACCCCTGTGAACCACTCTTGTCTGAACCACCATACCCCTGTGAACCACTCCTGTCTGAACCACCATACCCCTGTGAACCACTCCTGTCTGAACCACCATACCCCTGTGAACCACTCCTGTCTGAACCACCATACCCCTGTGAACCACTCCTGTCTGAACCACCATACCCCCAGTGTGAACTATTGTATCCCATGTGAAACACCATATCGCTTGTCTGAATGGACATGTAAACGGATATTGCTTGTCTGAAACACCATATCCCGTCTGAACCATCATATCCAATGTGAAGCATGATATCACCTATCTGAACCATCATATCCATTGTTCGAATCATCATATCCCAGGTGAACCACCATATCCTTTGTCCGAACCACCATATCCCAGGTGAACCACCATATCCCTTGTCCGAACCACCATATCCCTTGTCCGAACCACCATATCCCAGGTGAACCCCCATATCCCTTGTCCGAACCCCCATATCCCAGGTTAACCACCATATCCCTTGTACGAACCACCATATCCCAGGTGAACCACCATATATATCCCTTGTCCGAACCACCATATCCCAGGTGAACCACCGTATCCCTTGTCCGAACCACCATATCCCAGGTGAACCATTATATCCATTGTTCGAATCATCATATCCCAGGTGAACCACCATATCCCTTGTCCGAACCACCATATCCCAGGTTAACCACCATATCCCTTGTCCGAACCACCATATCCCAGGTGAACCACCATATATATCCCTTGTCCGAACCACCATATCCCAGGTGAACCATTATATCCATTGTTCGAATCATCATATCCCAGGTGAACCACCATATCCCTTGTCCGAACCACCATATCCCAGGTGAACCACCGTATCCCTTGTCCGAACCACCATATCCCAGGTGAACCATTATATCCATTGTCCGAACCACCATATCCCAGGTGAACCATTATATCCATTGTTCGAATCATCATATCCCAGGTGAACCACCATATCCCTTGTCCGAACCACCATATCCCAGGTTAACCACCATATCCCTTGTCCGAACCACCATATCCCAGGTGAACCACCATATCCTGTGTCCGAAACACCATATCCCAGGTGAACCATCATATCCCTTGTCCGAACCACCATATCCCCTGCATAAACCATCATATCCCTTGTACGAATTATCTTATCCCATGTAACCACTGTACCCCTGTCTGAACCATTGTATTCCATGTGCAACACCATATCGCTTGTTTGAACCACCATATTAAGGTTATATCCCATGTGAACCATGATACCACCTGTCTGAACCACCATATCCCATGTGAACCACCATATCCCTTGTTCAAACCACCACAACTCTTGCATTAACCATCATATCCTTTGTCCGAATCATTTTATCCCATGTGAACCACGACATCCCCTGTCTTAAAGGTCACATGCAACGTAAAACACAACTTTGCAGATTCTGATACCTTTCGGTATGGACTTACCGAAACAAATCATCAAAAATGCAAATTCAACTTGAAAAATAACGCGATGAAAAAAACGTGCAAAATCGTAGTTCAAATGATTCACTAACTTTCCCCCAGCGCTTGGGGGAATTGAAGTGGTTTCAACAGCTGGGCTGCGCTCATAGCACATGTGCAGTGAAATAGGTTCGCGGAGCTTGGAAGCGGGTTGTCCGGTGCATATTCGGTGAAGGCTTTGGTGTGAGCTATTTTTCTAATGTTTTGTTGCTATTTCACAGGCGCGAGCTTTTTATGTTATTACAGGAGATTACCAATTTAACTGTTTATATAATTTCATTTGTCTATTTCACCACACGTTCTCCTTACCGAGTCATTTTCTCAGTTCGATACTTAAAAGCAATGTCATTATTTAGCATCGACAGAATTTCTAACTGTGATATAGATATGTCGTTGTCACAGACAAAACTCAGTGTCTTTTTTTTCTTGGCACCTATGTGTCAGCCTGCCCGTCTGCTAATGGCAATATTCAATACACAACTTCGATCACTGACCACATGCAATTTGAACTTAACACCTATCAGGCTATGCACCATAAACAAAACGCATTGATTTATGGCTCGAGTTCGGTCTCTGTCACATTATGTAATTACACAGACAGGCAGGTGTGATACTTGTACACATGACATGTAATGATGTCTGTTGATTGCAAAATGTTATACACAAAAAATGAGCATGTATTTACATATATACACACACAATGAGCTGTGAGGGCATCTGCAAATGAACCAGCCGTTACACTTGAGTGCACACCCACCCGCTCTGACTGGGTTCGGTATCCCGGCTGCTTTGTTTCTAAGTAAACCCAAGTACAAAATATTGCATTTTTGATTGACGATTGTACGCTTATAATTTTGTTTTTATATTTTTTCATGACCAACAATGTATATTATATGTCATGAATAAATGATAGTTGTGTTTTAATTATGTTTGATTTTTTGGTTGCATCCGACCTATAAGTACCTTGCCCGTACCATCTGAACCAACATATCACATCCAAACCACAATATCCCTTGTCTGAACCACTTGTGTCCCTTGTGTGGACAGCCCATATAGCCTGTCTACATCATCACGACCCCACCTTATACCACCCATAACTCTTGTGTGGACAAACATGGAGCTGTTGATATGGATGTTAGGGATTTCATGCTTTTACAAAACCTGCATTGATGGCTGGTTAAACATGTCTGATTTTCTGTAGTATGTATTGATGATTCCATTGATGGTGTGGCTGCCTATGTGGTGTAATGGACTGACTGACGAGTGGAATGTCAGACAAGCCATAGTAAACAATTTTAAAAGCTTAGTGTACTTTGCAACCCAGTCTGGCACTAAGCGTTGACGGGGACTGATCCTCTCAGAGTTGGTTTAATGTAATAGTGTTTAACTCTATCACACTGGGTTAGTGTTGTAAACCAGTGCAGGTTCTGGCCTCGTGGAAGCAGCCTCACCCTCGCGTAAGTGAAATAATCTTTGATGTGACAGTAAATCCCATTTCACCTGACCTCACCCTATTGACAGTCTCAGGGTGAGATAAAAATGATTTGTTTCACTGTTGGTTAAAATCTCCATTTTGCAGGATTGGAAGAGAATTGTGATATTTTGCTATGCTTACCATGTAAACTTTGTATTGTAAACAATTTCATTATCATCATTATTGTTTCAAGTTTCAAGTGCTATTCATTTTGAGAAATCTTTCCCTTAAATACAGTAGTATGTATTGGGTGTTTGTTTTTATGTTTGTTTTTGTATTTTTTTTAAGTTAGCACTGTTTGGTTATGTGGGATTATATGAGCAGTTTTGAAAAGAAACATACCTAGGCTTTGGTGTTACTTAGAGTCAGTTGGAATGAAATTTCATTTTTTAATTTTTTTTTATTCATTCCCATAGTTACATAGTTATGGTATAGGTATGACCAAGGCCTTTTTCCATGCTAAAGGAACCTGTCCAATATGTAAATTGAACTATATTAATAAGTTTAGTTGGGTTTTTAAAAGTTCTTGGGGAAGATGCTTTATTGTTTGTTAAGAGGTGAGATCAAGCCCAAGGTCTGTTCACTTCTTGCGGTTATCAAGAACATTAAGCAGTTTTTCCATTATAAATGTGTGGTTTATTTTAAGTTGTTGTCTTCGGGCGATTTTGAGTACTTGTTTTGATTTCTTAGTTGTTTTAATCATAACTAAAGTAAGAGGAGGGGGATGGAGGAGGAGGGGTCATCAATTTTGTATACATGCACTAGGGGGTCAGCAATTTTGTACATCGAAATATTCAAAAATTATGGGAAGGGATGGGGGTAATTGATTTTTGTACATGACATGTATGGTGGGGGTAGTCACTTACTTTGTACATAAATTTTAGGGGGGGGTCATTCACATTGTACATGCTTCTCCATAAAAATCATCATTTCCCTTTCAGGTTTGTTTACAGTTGTTTAATTAACTCATAGCTTACATGGCATTTAGATTAAGCATTGTTTTATAATGTTTTAATTTAATTGACAGTATGTTTATGGTTTGCTATTTAAAACATTGCAATATTTTATTTTAATGCTCTATGTATCGGTGTGTATTTAATGAATAACTACCCGTTTCTAATAACTATTTTAGTTTTAAACATTTAAGCATTACTATAAAGCCTCATGTTCATATTTGACACCCATGATCGATGGTTCAAAAGAAAGCAGTGGACACGTTTGTAGTGAACTTGAAATGCTAATTCCAAAATGTTTTGCAATGTTTGACGGACTAAAATACTAGGAAGTCATTGATATGATTACATGAATAATAAGTAATTTATTTTAGCCCAACAAGCTGAGTCTCATATCAATAATGAAAAAACTGTATTGTTTATCATATCTCCACATGAGAACTCGTGAGACACAGAAGTACCCCACAAGTTTTCACCACAAGTACATTAATGTTAATTTAGAAATCTAATCAGTTTCTGGCCAAAATCATCAAACCACAAGTGAGTGTTATAAATTTGATTATGGATGAATTGGTAAATTTCATGCAATGCTCGGACAGTATTTTGGTGATCATTTGTACCTGTTAATTACCCAGCGCCTGACAGAAACAGTGTTGACTATTTTCTCAATTCTGGTCATACATTTAAATGAATATCTGTTTGGAAATTTAAAAAATCCCTCACAAAATGTCATTATGAGATACAGATGAGATGAGTAGCTCAGAGGTTATTTTGTATTGGTGTAGTTTGGGGTAGTTAATGCAGTAACTGTTCTAAGTGCATATGTTGAGTATTTTTAACTGTTACAAATGATCATACTGTTATTATATGCAACTTTGTTGTGTTGTACGTTACCAAGTAACAGTGTGTGATTTAAATAAAATATCTGTCTACCAGTTGGTTTGTTTTTCAAGTATCCCACAAGGCACTCACAAAGATGTTAGGGGTGCTATTTGGAGTCAAGCTGTGCCAACATATGGAATACTTTTGACCAATCTTCAAATCTATCAGGCACAGAGCGGACTAAATTTACAGCCAGCCATTCCGATGGTCTGGTATAATTTTTAATTGTTCTGTACATCTGAGTAAATTCACCATATCTTGGTGTCTGGTATGGTTAAATCCAGTTTGGACGGGTAACACCTTTAGGTTACCAGCCCTGATGTCTGGCTGGGTTTTTGGCTTATTTCATACACTGTTGGAAAGCTTTATATTTAGATAGCTTTGGGGGCTTGCCCAACCTTTTAAGCAACAATAATGTGTAAGCCCAGGCTTTTATAATGGTAGCATACTGTACATTACATGAGTATGTTTGGTTTACATGTTTGTCCAAATTATTTCGTCCTCTATGTCTCCAGGGCTTGCATCTCTGTAAACATTCTTGTAGTCTCAGATTATGTGCCCTTGAGTTCCATTTGCTAATTTGTGACTATGCTGGAAGGCCTAACAGAATGTTGGGTTGGCAATCAACATGGCAATCAGTTAATATTAAATAACTGACTGAAACGCAAAAGGAAACCCATAAACATTTATTTGATGGAAAGGATGTCTTCGTATCAGTTAAAACTGGCCTCTCTTATATCAAAGGATATATGTCTTCTGGAAAACCCACCTTGAACATAGCTTCTACATTAACAAAGGAACCACACTTTGTAGCCATGAGTGTTAATCCAGAGGATTTCACTGGAATGCTGCTGTTTAGATTAACATGCTTTCCCTGTTTGCATCTAAGAAGTTACAGGGATGGTGCTGTCTAAGACTGTCTTACCAACCTCCTTGGGCAAATATCTTTGGGATTCAAACTAGCTCACTGTTAGGGACACAACTCTGTGGAGCATAAGTGGTAACTTTGACCACTGACCCACCCAAACCTTCTTAGACACAACACAACCAAAACTGAATATGATGATTTATTTTCTTTTTCAATGATCACATTAAAATTGCAGAAAAAGTGAAAGAACTAAACAGAGGAAGTGTTCTTACTTAACAATTATGAATCCTACAGTTAAAACCCCAAATAACCACATTTTATACATAAATTTGGCAACGCAATTCACCAACCTCCTAATGTCCAAGCATAGAAGTCAAG